ACTAATATATATATATATATATATAAAAGGATAATTATGCAGATGTACCATAGCTAACGTGCAAGAGTTTTTTTTTTAATATTCCAAAAAAAAAAGCTATTTAGAGAATTGACCTACTTTTTAAACTATTTGGAAAACTAATCTATTTTTTGACATCGCATTTTAAAAATGCAATTTTGAAATTGAAATTACATTTTCAACATACAATTTTACCTTGAAATTGCAGTTTGAAAAATACAATTTATGATGACATGGTAAAATTGTATGTTAAAAATACAATTTCAATTGAAATCATATTTTTAACTTGTGATTTCAATTGAAATCGCATTTGAAATTACATGTTGAAAATGTAATTTTAAAAACAAGTTAGTTCCCTAAATAGTTTGAAAAGTGAGTTAATTCTCTAAATAATTTTCTTTTTTTTAGAGTATTAAAAAAAAAAACTCAAACTTGCAAGTAGGAATGGCAACGGGGCTGGGGATCACCCTCCCGTCCCCGATCCCCGATGGTGGAAATCCCCCCGTCCTTGGCCCCGATCCCCGACGAGGAACCTATATCTGCCCCCGCCCTCTAACGGGGATCGGGTTTCCCCGACCCTGAAAAATCCTCGACAAAAAAAAAAACTAGATACAACAGATTTGTTCATTATCAACAACAACAACGTAGAGAGCGATATATTCATAATTATCATACAAATCTGTTCACCATTAACAGATCTGATGAGCTCAAATGTAAATAATAATAAAAAAATTCAAATATAACAGATCTGTTCATCACCATTAACAAATCTAATGAGCTCAAATGTAATAATAAAAAAATCAAATCTAACAGATCTGTGTATCATCATTATCATCATCATCATCATCAACAACAACAACATAGAGAGAGAGAGAGAGATCTGATGCTCAAATCTAATATATATATATATATATATATATACATACATAACAAATTGAGAGAGAGAAGAAAAATTCCAGATCTAGGGTCACTGCCGGATCGGATGGTGTCACTGCAACTGCCGCGCGATCGGCGGAGGAGGGAGATCGGCGAAGGGTTTGAGAGAGAGAGAGAGAGAGAGAGAGATGAGAGGCAGTGATGAGTGTGTGAGGTGCACAGTGTTGTGTGAGTGAAAGGGATGGTTTATATATCTATATAAAGAGGGGTAAAATGGTAACTTTATTTCGGGGAAATTCGGGGCCGGGGACGGGGACGAGCCGGGGCTTGAACACTGATCACCGTCCCCGGCCTGAAACTGGTCGGGGATTTAATTTCGAATACCATCCCCGTCCCCACGGGAGTATTTTTCGAAAAAAAACCATCCTAATCGGGGTCGGGGGATCGGATTCCCATCAGACCGGGTTTAAATTGCCATCCGTACTTGCAAGGCATTAAAAAAAAAAGAGAGACCCATGTAGCACATGGGCTGGTTTCTGATGATAAAAAAGCCACAGAGCCTCGTGGGCCACCAGTAACTAGATGGGTGAGTATAGGACTAAACAATTGGCTTTGTATGGTTGTTTTCAAAACACCCATTGGATCACGAGATTTGATTCCCCCCTTTCCTCTCCCTTATCTATCTATTTTCATTCTCTTTTTCTACTTTGACAGCTACAAATACATTACATGCCAAAGACTAAATGACAGAAAAAGCAAGAATCTCATGCAAAATGTATGAAAACAATGAGATCTAACTCAAATATGTGAGAAACTATTTGGAACCCTCTAGTTTGTGGAGGGACTTGCTATGGCTTTTGACAACATGATCTTATGGGAATCCTAATCCATCCTCATTTGGAATTTCATGATAGATCTAAAATCTGAAATGCTCACTTCTTGATATTAGAGCATAATAAAGTCACATTTTGATAACAGGCTAGTTTCTAAGAATACAATTTTCAATACGACACACCAACACCAAGTAAATTAGAGATAAAATTAGAATTGACTGGGTCATAACTAGTTCTCAATATGAACCTGTGACATGACCCAATAACACGGAAAGTAAATAGCTTAAATTAGTCTCAATCTCACTTAATTAGTTTCAAATTAGTCTCTATTTAATAATATTGTGTTAAACAGCAATTACTGTTTGTCCATTCCTATTTTTTATATGTTCTTTTTATCCTAATTTTTATCTTGATTTAATAGAATTCTTTGATTGAAAAGGCTTTGTAATCCGTTAAACATGATCAATGTGTGTTAATAGTGTTATCTGTTTCAAATTTACATTGACCTGTTTATACGCAGGTCGGATTAGTGTCTAGTTATTTGACACAACTAGTTAATATGCCATGTAAATATTAAGGGGATTCTGACACAAGCTCAAGATTACACAATAGAACATGACCTCAACCCCACCCGATTTTCACTGCTATTCATCATCATCATCAACACATTCTCATCCATTCATCAGTATCAACACAAAAGTGCAGGTAAAATAACATATATGTTAGATGGGGAATACATCCAGAGGAATGAAAAATAACTGAGGGGTGCAAAAATCCATCATTATCACCAGCAAATTCTCATCCATTTGTAAGTACCAAAACATAGGTGCCTCTAATTGATCAGTTATATGCTAGAAATAAAAAAAACAACTCCACAAATGGGGACAATAGAATGGGAAGACAAACCCAAGCAACCTGCTTCCATGCCTCACTATTAAAACATTTCAGTCTACTTTCAAGTAGCAAAATAGTAGTTCCAGAAAATGAACATCAAGTAGAATTTTTCCATATCGTTAAATGACCCATAACTTATTTACCAAAGCAGCGAGCATGGGAACAACATCGTTGGCTATATAAATTGAAGGATATAAAAATATTGAAACTCCTTCAGTTGTATTGTCGATTTTGTTTTTGTAGTTGATACGAATGCAGAAGTGTAGATATAGCTTCTCTACACACACTGGATCCATCAAGAGTGAAAGGTTTAATAGAAAGGATGCTATGTACCAGTGGCAGTGAAGATAAATGTATTCATCAAATTCATATTTTCAAACTTATTTAAGAACAAAAGGAAAAACTTCGACAAAAATAATTCACAAGTACTTTCCCACATGTTATATAATGTCAGTTTTGAATCATATTTCCATTGCTGTAGTAAACAAAGCTACCAAGAATTGCAGCTATTATGAAACTCATAGTTTTCAATGCAAGTGATCTCTGATAAATATTTTACAATTAAAACAAAAGGGCTTCTTGTTTAAGAGAATTAATGCTGCTTAATAATCAAAACATGTCTATAATCAACATATTCTAGATCTAAACTCTACTTCAAGATTTGTGTTCCTTCAACCTCAAACATTCAGCTAGTGACAAACATAAGCAGAAGGTCCGTAAGTCATGTGATGTAGGATGAGTAGGGATTACTTTCCTAGTAGTGAGCCCGGGTTATGTATACTGCCAGTAGCAACCATAGACTTAGGGTGTGTTTGATTGGACGGACTAGATAAGGGATTAAAATCCATCAGATTAGAATCTTGGGACTGGGAATCCCCAGACTATTTGGTTAGATTGAATGGGTATCCGTGTTTGTTTTCTCATGGGATTAGATGTCTAGAAAGGACTGTTTTTAGTAAATCCAATGTTTAGTTGGACGGACTGGATAAGGATAAATGTTCGAAAGACTATTTTACCATTGTAATTTACAATTTATATATATTTTTTAATATATAATTTTAAACTTGTAATCTATAATTTATAATTTATTATTTAACAACACTAAAAAAATTTAACTTATAAGGCCATAATTTTTAATTAAATTTAATTTATAATTTATATTTTTTATTTAATATATATTTTTAAATTAATAACACTAAAAAAATAATTTTATTTAATATATAAATTTAATTTTTTAACAACACTAAAAAAATTTAATTTATAAGGTCATAATTTTTAATTTATTATTTTTAATTAAATTTAATTTATAATTTGTAATTTATATTTTTTATTTAATATATAATTTTAAATTAACAACACTAAAAAAATAATTTATAAATGTTCAACTATTTTACCATTTTCCAATTGTTTACTAAGTAATAGTATGAGAGTAAAACGAACATTTCACACATTAATCTCATGAGATACCAATCCCATAGAAATAATCCCCCCCCTCCCGGATTGTTTAGTCCCTCATATGAGGGATATGGAATCCGGCCAGACTCCATGTCTGGCGGACTAAAATTGCACCACACGATGGACATCCCCCTCTATTGGATAAGCAATCCGAACAGTAAATAATCCTCCCCTAATCCCTTGAATCAAACACACCCTTATAGGGCTAGATTTGGTAGAATTTTGTGGCTACAAAAGTATTTAAAACATGGGGGTGTTTGGCAAGAAAAAAAATAACCTAGTTTAGGCTAAAATTCACAGAAAGACAAAATAGGCTAAAATAGTTAATAAGACAAAATATCACATCAAACTTATGATCATTTCACTTTTTCTCTCACAAACATCACGTCCAACCATAAAAAAATCCAATCATCTTCCCAAACACAAAAATTTTAGCTTACTAAAATAACCAAAAACTAAAATAGCCTACTAAAATAGCAACTTCCCAAACGAACCCATAGGAGTTTAAGAGTTTATAAGAGGATAGGGTTTTGGGAATGAAAACACACAAGTGTTTAGGAACAGTTAGGTGGTTGTTTTAAGCATTGTGAACAGTGACATCAACAGTAACCTTACTGGATAGAAGAAGAAGAGAGAGAGAGAGAGAAGTGCTTCACCCTCACAAGGGATAGGCCAATCATACAAACACAATATTAAATTTTCATAATATTAACTCTTCTATTGAATCATAAACATTACACACATATTTATACGCTAAAAACTCTCCTAATTCTATAAGGACTATTTCTCAAATTTAGAAACTAAAAATATTTAGTAACTACTAATAATTCTAGACTAACTATGACTTCCAATTCTACTTCAATCATAATAGGACATTTTAATGACTTCTAATTCTACTTCAATATCAAAATAAGAAACTTGGAATTTTAACCACTAAGATTATTTTATACATAATAAAACTTATATATAATAACCCATTTAATAACTTGACCCAAAATAAAATCCATGGGTAACCCCTATAATGACATAAAGACTCAAAATTATTCCAAATCTTTAATTCTTGATATCCTAGATGTGCTTCATATAAAATTTCAAATTTGTTCTTTTTTTTCTTTCCATGATCTTCATCATCATGGTATGAACGAAAGAGCATGAAGTTGTCATTTGAAATGTTAGAAATATTAATACAATCACCTCAACTGGATTTCATTTGCTTTATGAAGGCTTCTATCATCTCAACCGCATCATACATATTCTTCTGCTTGATTTCATCCAAAAGCAACCGACATGTCTGATATCTTGGTGTTATGTCTTGATCTATCATTTCCTTGAATAGGAGGTATGCCCATTCACATTTGTTAGCTCTACAAAGCCCATGAATCAAAAGTGTGTAAGTTGAGATATCAAGACTAATGTGATGTTTATTAACCATGTCATCCAACAAGCCGCTCAACCAGCTATCTGTCTTCCCAGTCTTAAAGCACAACTTGAGCAATGGGCAGTATGACTGAGCATCGGGTTTACAAAATGGAGAATTTTCCATCTCCCTAAGAACATTTAAGGCTTGTAGGCGTTCACCATGATGGCAAAACATCGTAATCATTGAATTGTAGGTAGATGTATTTGGTGTGACACCAAGTTTGGGCATTTCCACTTCAAAAACGTAAGCAGCTTCTTGTAATCGGTTAGCTCTCCCCAGTGTATGAATCAAGGCATTGTAAAAAAGTGTATCAGGTATACATCCCGCGGATTTCATTCTCACGGGTATTTGCAAGGCTTCCTCGAACTCCCCCGACTTTGCCTGTGCACACATGATAGTGGTGTAAGTAACAACATTTGCTGGGCATCCTTGAACTTGCATATCATCAAGGAGTCCATAGACCTTATGGAAGCTGGATTGATGACAATAAGACTGGATGATCGTTGAGTAGCTGATGACACAAGGGCGACAACCATGTCCCTTCATCTCCTGGATTGTCCAGACAGCCTCATCAACCCGATTGATTTTGCACCAACCATGAATGAAAATGTTGAATGTGTGAGCATTTGGTGGGATGTGTGATTTGAGTTCCAAGAAGATTGCACGGGCCTGCTCAACTTTGTTCTCTTTGCAAAGGGTGCCAAGCAACAAGTTCATAGATTCTGTATTTTTCTCCAACCCAAAAGTTCCCAAGTCATCGAATGTCCTCACAGCATCTTTCCAATCTCCTGCACCAGCAAGCCTTCGCATAACCTTAGCTACAGTGCAAAGCGTCACAAGATGGGTTTGACGCATTTCATCTACCAACTCCTTCATCTTATCTATTTGTTTTGCTTTACCCAGTATGTCCACCAACATATCATATGATTCTGGTAGGGGCTTATAGCCAGGATGTGATGATACCCATTTAAAAACACCTAATGCAGACTTCCAATCATCTTTGAACCGATAGAGTAATTTATCAACAATTCTGTGAGAAATCTGTACGGCATTGCAAACACGGTCATGGCTGAGTGAATGAAATATTTCATCTACGCTAGTTGCAGCACGGACTTTGGCTGTGAGAATGTCAAAGCCTGAACATTTAGTCAACTCTGAACTTCTCTCTTCTTGACGGTCAATTTGAGTTTCCCTTAAGGAGGAAGAGTCCAGTGGGTAAGGAAACGACAATGAAGAATGAAAGCAAGACAAATTTCCAGAGGTGGCATGGGAAAAGGTGCAAGATACAAACAAGTCAACTAAGAAGCCATTTCTTTTAATGTGATTCCGGACACGAAAGATCATAAAGGGGGATTAAATAAGAAAAATGTATTTGAGTATGTGGCTATGTGCCCCTGCATCCACCGAGTAGAAACAAACATCAGGTATCAAACATTTTATTTCATTTTCCAAACTCAAAGGAAGTATTACAGAATAGAATTACAGATGAAGACTTAACTCTAGTAATTAACTCTTACTTTATTCTTTTAACGCAGAATCTGAAAACCAACATTAACCTATCTAGTCCTTCACCTGGCATGATAGTTAGAGTAATAATACAACTTATGTTGCTTAAACAAGAAAAACTCCTGAAGTAATAAGTCATTTGTTTTAGTGGAAAATATTTTCCAACCGAAAACATTTTTTACGGAAAACTATTTCCAAAAAATTCTTCTGGAGAGAACGTTTTCCTATGTTTGATTGCAAACTAATGCACTAATGGTAGAATTAGTGGTGGTGGGGGGGATGTGGTAATGGTGGCAAGATAGTGGCAGTGGCAGTGACAGTGGCAGTTGTGATGGGATGGCGGTAGTGTGGTGGTATTGATAAGACTTTAATCCGAAAAACATTTTTCACCTGCTAAGTGGAAAACATTGTTTACCTAAATGGGTTTGTTTTCATTGACTCGTTTTCTTTTATTCCAAACTCCAGAAAGCGTGAAAAATGTTTTCCGCCCAAATTAACAGCGCCTACATTATTAGGCCTAATTGCGCAAGGTTTTGGTTTTTTCTAAGCCCAAAATACTAAAGCCTATGATCGAAAATTTTCAATTCCTGTTTGTTTCTTAAACTCTTCAACAGCCAAACTAAGCAGCGCTGAAGAATTTCCCAAGATTTTTTTTTTCCTTACAATATGCACACCAAAACCAGACGTTGACACACACACAACATTCATCAATACATCAATTGATGATGTTCAAAGACACGTATACCTTTGAGACAATTCATCGAATATGTGGAGGCCATTATAATTCATTTCATATACAAACGCACACACTAGTAGCGATCGATTGCAATAAGATTCAACACCATAGAAGAAAGAATATCTTTGAGAGAGAGAGAGAGAGGGAGAAGGATTACCTAAAAATCTTCAGACTATTTGCAGAGGCAGAGGAGTAGATGAGGAGGAGAGTGGCCGAGAGAGAGCACTTGGAGCTGAAAGTCTGGGCTTTAGACTCTGTGGATCTGCCGTTGCCGGTGCCGGAGCCAGGCTGATCGGACTGGAGTCTGTATGGGGACGCCGGAGAGCTTCGCGATGAGAGAGGGAGAGAGAGAGAAGGGGGGGGGGAGAGTGAGAAATCACAGCCCCAACGCGAAAATAAAGGGGGAGGGTAAACCGCTCGGTCTCGCTGAACCGGGAATGGCTCATGAACCAACCTCCGGTTTGAGCTATGTTTACAAAAGAAATAGCCGCTTTTGGTATCAAACCGTTTAGGAGGATTGTCTGGAGACTGGACCTAAGCTGAACTGACCATAGGACTTCAGACCAGCCAAATCGAGTCAAGTATGGGTTGTTTAAGTTTGATTGGTTTAACGAATATTTTTATGAGCCGAGTTTGAATACTTTGATTTTTTATAATGTTTATAAAATTGCCGAGTCCAGTAGTATATTATTTAAATTTAGTTTGAAATTTCACAAATTTAAAATTAAGTTTAATTTTGACTTGTTTATATAATAAATTGATCTTGAATGAGTTTTAATAAGTCAAATGTGACTTAAGCCTCAATAACTTGGCTTGTTTAATAACCCTAATTGGCTAGTTTGATTCAATTTTCCAGACGTTGCATTCAATATCTTGTTTTCACAAGAGAAGTCATTTGATGTTTCAAGTGTCACTCAATATCTTGTTTTCACAAAAGAAGTCATTTGATATTTCAAGTGTCGCTATGTGGTACCCTAAATTGAATGCGATTGATGGAGAGAGTGAAATTCACTGATTTCTATCAATGAGGAGAGTAACAGGAGGCATGACAATTGGTGATTAATTAGAGACACTGACCCATAACAATCCTAAAGTATCAAATAATTTTTGTTTTTATGATCGTGCAACAAATGTTGATTTCTATTTGATAAAATGTCAATCTATATTTGGTGCACCAAAGACTGCTTGTAATTTTTATTTATTTATTTAAAAGTTTGTGTTTTAATGCTTTGTGCAATTAAGTAAAAATAACTTAAAAAGCTAATTATTAAAAAAAAAATGAGAGAATGATATTTCTAACTTTGCTATTTACTTTTTAATTATCAACGTCCACCTTGCAAGAAGCTATAAGCTATACCAAATAGACCCTTTGCACCATCCAACTTCACAGACATCAATCAAACAGAAGAAGAAAATAAAGAGCATGGTGGGTGTGAAAATGAATTTGTTAACCAATTCACACAATGTAAAACCACATTTTGACCACAACTGAATTAACTCTCCCTCTTCTTCCCTGCTTTTTTTTACCAGCAAAAGTTAACTAATAAATCGAACAAAATCCAACTCAATCCTTTTTATGCTTAAAACCACGCCACCGAAGACATGATGGTATGGATTACACATCAGAACCATACAAAAACAGTTTAGATGTGCAGAGAATATATCAATAAGCTTGTAACCTTCTTAACATTCCATATGAAGCGTCAATAAGCTTGTAACCTTCTTAACATTCCATATGAAGACTTAACCTTTGGTGGTCCTCTAGCCGAGCATACAGAAAGGCACAAAAGCTCACAAAAAATTGTTTATCATTGAATATGAAAAATTAAATATCATTCCAAACCCAACCCATATCCTAAAACTATAGTAAATGAAGCTTTTACAGGAAAATAACAATTAATTATAATAAACACTCCTCAAATATATTATACCAACTTTTCACATATTACAGAATTTTCGATTATTTTTCCTATGAACACAAGGGAAACAAAGATAACACAAAGACTCCATAAGTAAACATCCAAAACAAGACTACACAAGACTCTTGCGCAGTTTATTCCAAACCAAAACCTCAGGGGACCTAAAACACTAACCAGTACGACACAAGCAAAACAAAGTCACCCTCTATCACCTCATGAGATTAGCATCAAGCTTGAACAGAAGCCATGTGCACAATCAAGTCAACCACACGTGAACTGCAAAAGCATAGAAGATTGTGTCAAGGGACGACGCAACGTTGCGTGAAAGCGATGCGAGTAAAATAGAGTACTGAAATTACCTGTAACCCCATTCATTGTCATACCAAGCAATAAGTTTCACGAAATGTTCATTCAAAGCAATCCCAGCCTTGGCATCAAAGATGCATGACCTACATAAAACACACAAATTCAATAACAATTTCATGAGATCACATCCACTGAGTGTCGCCCACAAACCTAATCAGCTAGAACATTAGGAAGGAAAGAACAGTGGGACAATCTACCTGCTGTCACCCACAAAGTCTGTTGAGACAACGTCATCTTCAGTGTACCCCATAATCCCCTTGAGTTTGCCCCCTGACTCCTCCCTGAAATTAACCAAGAAACAGAGTCAAAGATCAGAAAAAAACAGAAGTAAAACCCAACCACTAAACGAGAATTGGCAGTTAAAGAAACTTCATACTAACGTGTTATTGTTCTGACAAATAAATACAATCAAACAAATCTACTAGGCATCTCAGTTTCATTGTCTAATACATAAAACAATGCAGCTAGTTTGAAGGAATACTATAAACACTCACTTGATCGCATCTTTGATTTGCTGGTAAGAAGCTCCTTTCTCAAGCCTCACAGTGAGATCCACCACTGAAACATCCACTGTCGGAACTCGGAAAGCCATTCCAGTCAACTTGCCATTCAGTGCTGGCAGAACTTTTCCGACTGCCTGTTAGAGTAGAAGAAAGTAAACACACATGCAAACTAATCAAAAAACTCAACACCATAAGAATATGAAATAAATACCCATTGGGAGTGAACAAAACAGAACAAAATACAGTACCACATTGACACTCCGCATCTCAAATGATATTGATATCAAATCAAATACAGGCAACAATTATCACATATAAGGACAGCGTCATTTACATAATTTGCTGACTACCTTTGCAGCACCGGTGCTGCTTGGAATGATATTGAAGGAAGCAGCTCTTCCACCCCTCCAATCCTTGCTTGATGGCCCATCAACAGTCTTCTGAGTGGCTGGGTGACGATTTACAAGAGAGAAAATTGAAAAAGATACCACAAATCATATCCCGAAGCAACAACCTAACCATGTAAGCACTCACCAGTGATGGAGTGAACAGTAGTCATAAGGCCCTCAACAATGCCAAACCTATCATGAATAACCTGGCAAAATTGTTGAAATAGAAAATTTTAAGCAAAGCAATTTACCAATTTTAACTAAGCCAACAATTCTAGCCGATTCTAAATTGGTGTCAGTGTAACCTTGGCGAGGGGAGCAAGACAGTTTGTAGTGCAGCTAGCATTGGAGACGATGTCAAGATCGGGCTTGTATTCCTTCTCATTAACACCCACAACAAACATAGGGGCATCCTTACTTGGGGCAGAAATGATCACCTTCTTTGCACCACCCTAATTACACCAAACAGGTTAGCCCATTGACCAGAAACAGTATAACGAATAGCAGGAGTATTTTTACTAAACTCATGCCATTTCCAAAACTCTGAAGTAGTTTTGAACTTACTTTTCAAATCTATCTTGCTTTATTGTTTTGAGAACTCGTGTTTTGATAACATGAAAACACGACTTCAAACTCAGAGTCATGTTTTCGAATTGTAATCTACTGATTTGATTAACTTATTGTAAAAAATTTTGAAATCGTGTTTTCAAAACAAGATTTCAAACCAGAACTCAAAACACGACTTTTCAAAACGATTTGAATTTGGGAAGTAAGTTCAAAATGTCTTGCATTTGGAACATACAATTATAATAAACACTCCTCAAATATATTATACCAACTTTTCATATATTACAGAATTTTCGATTATTTTTCCTATGAACACAAGGGAAACAAAGATAACACAAAGACTCCATAAGTAAACATCCAAAACAAGACTACACAAGACTCTTGCGCAGTTTATTCCAAACCAAAACCTCAGGGGACCTAAAACACTAACCAGTACGACACAAGCAAAACAAAGTCACCCTCTATCACCTCATGAGATTAGCATCAAGCTTGAACAGAAGCCATGTGCACAATCAAGTCAACCACACGTGAACTGCAAAAGCATAGAAGATTGTGTCAAGGGACGACGCAACGTTGCGTGAAAGCGATGCGAGTAAAATAGAGTACTGAAATTACCTGTAACCCCATTCATTGTCATACCAAGCAATAAGTTTCACGAAATGTTCATTCAAAGCAATCCCAGCCTTGGCATCAAAGATGCATGACCTACATAAAACACACAAATTCAATAACAATTTCATGAGATCACATCCACTGAGTGTTGCCCACAAACCTAATCAGCCAGAACATTAGGAAGGAAAGAACAGTAGGACAATCTACCTGCTGTCACCCACAAAGTCTGTTGAGACAACGTCATCTTCAGTGTACCCCATAATCCCCTTGAGTTTGCCCCCTGACTCCTCCCTGAAATTAACCAAGAAACAGAGTCAAAGATCAGAAAAAAACAGAAGTAAAACCCAACCACTAAACGAGAATTGGCAGTTAAAGAAACTTCATACTAAAGTGTTATTGTTCTGACAAATAAATACAATCAAACAAATCTATTAGGCATCTCAGTTTGATTGTCTAATACATAAAACAATGCAGCTAGTTTGAAGGAATACTATAAACACTCACTTGATCGCATCTTTGATTTGCTGGTAAGAAGCTCCTTTCTCAAGCCTCACAGTGAGATCCACAACTGAAACATCCACTGTCGGAACTCGGAAAGCCATTCCAGTCAACTTGCCATTCAGTGCTGGTAGAACTTTTCCGACTGCCTGTTAGAGTAGAAGAAAGCAAACACACATGCAAATTAATCAAAAAGCTCAACACCATAAGAATATGAAATAAATACCCATTGGGAGTGAACAAAACAGAACAAAATATAGTACCACATTGACACTCCGCATCTCAAATGATATTGACATCAAATCAAATACAGACAACAATTATCACATATAAGGACAGCGTCATTTCCATAATTTGCTGACTACCTTTGCAGCACCAGTGCTGCTCGGAATGATATTGAAGGAAGCAGCTCTTCCACCCCTCCAATCCTTGCTTGATGGCCCATCAACAGTCTTCTGAGTGGCTGGGTGACGATTTACAAGAGAGAAAATTGAAAAAGATACCACAAATCATATCCCGAAGCAACAACCTAACCATGTAAGCACTCACCAGTGATGGAGTGAACAGTAGTCATAAGACCCTCAACAATGCCAAACCTATCATGAATAACCTAGCAAAATTGTTGAAATAGAAAATTTTAAGCGAAGCAATGTACCAATTTTAACTAAGCCAACAATTCTAGCCAATTCTAAATTGGTGTCAGTGTAACCTTGGCGAGGGGAGCAAGACAGTTTGTAGTGCAGCTAGCATTGGAGACGATGTCAAGATCGGGCTTGTATTCCTTCTCATTAACACCCACAACAAACATAGGGGCATCCTTACTTGGGGCAGAAATGATGACCTTCTTTGCACCACCCTAATTACACCAAACAGTTTAGCCCATTGACCAGAAACAGTATAACGAATAGCAGGAGTATTTTTACTAAACTCATGCCATTTCCAAAACTCTGAAGTAGTTTTGAACTTACTTTTCAAATCTATCTTGCTTTATTGTTTTGAGAACTCGTGTTTTGATAACATGAAAACACGACTTCAAACTCAGAGTCATGTTTTCGAATTGTGATCTACTAATTTAATCAATTTATTGTAAAAAAATTTTGAAATCGTGTTTTCAAAACAAGATTTCAAACCAGAACTCAAAACACGACTTTTCAAAACGATTGGAATTTGGGAAGTAAGTTCAAAATGTCTTGCATTTGGAACATAAATTTTGTTATAACTCAGGTTTGGTAAAAAACACAAATAAGTTGATCTGATTAACAATCATTGAAGAGCATTTTCATGTATTTTTTATTACATATACACCAATCAAACTTTTTGTTATAACTCAGGTTTGGTAAAAAAACACAAATAAGTTGACGTTGATTAACAATCATTTGAAGGGCATGTTCATGTATTTTTTATTACATACACACCAATCAAACTTTAGTCACAGATCATCGTATACAGCGAACAAAATCAAAAGAATCATACAATCCAACTGATGCATAAAAATCAATAAACAAAAAAGGCAATCAAAATTGAACCTTCAAGTGGGCAGCAGCCTTTTCCTTGTCAGTGAACACTCCAGTAAAAACACAAATAAGTTGACTTGATTAACAATCATTTGAAGAGCATGTTCATGTATTTTTTATTACATACACACGAATCAAACTTTAGTCACAGATCATTGTGTACAGCGAACAAAATCAAAAGAATCATACAATCCAACTGATGCATAAAAATCAATAAACAAAAAAGGTAATCAAAATTGAACCTTCAAGTGGGCAGCAGCCTTTTCCTTGTCAGTGAACACTCCAGTGGACTCCACAACAAACTCGGCACCGGTTTCCCTCCAGGGAATTTCTTCAGGGTTCCTGAAAATTCGTGCAAAATATGCCGAGAATGACCCTGATTTCATTCTGATTCAAATGCAAGAAAGTTAACTGGTGCTAGAAATGGCATAAATACCTGATGCCGAAAACAGTGACTGGTTTCTCCCCGAAAAGAAGGGTCTTTGAATCCTTAACCTTAACATCAGAATGCTTCCAGTGGCCATGAACACTGTCATACTTGAACATGTATGTCTGCACATATCACAATAACAAAATCGCACTTAGAAGTCATACATATATTCTATTACATAAAGCCTACAAATCAATGAAGCTTTGTCACAGATTTTTCATTGTCAAATTACCCTACAATTGCTTCACTTTTTATTTAGTTTCAAATTTTTATAACTTCTTCAACTTTCTTTCTCTTTGTCTACAATAATTTTTTGGGTCAGTAAGTAAAATATGAACTGATTGATTTTCATAGCTCACTCATCAGATGTACACATCATCTAGTCTATTCTATTATATAAAATCTACAAACCAGTGACAACTTTTTTATTATCAAATTTCCCAGCAACTACGTCCCTTTTTTATTTAAATTGAAATTGTTTTAATTCATCTACTTTTTTTTTTGGATAAGTTATATTTTGCAACCTTATATTTTACGTCAAATCCCACTTTGTCACAAACCTTTTAATTGTTGCAAATAACCCAAGACTTTGAGTCAAGTTAAAATCACACTTAACACACTGTACTTTTCAAAACAAAGTTATACCTATATGACTAGGCCAATAACAACTTCACTCAGAGTTAAGGGGGTTAGAGGGACAATTAAAAGATCAATAAAAAGCAAAAAAATTAAACCATTTTTATAGTAAAGCCATCAAGTTTGGTAAAAAACACAAATAAGTTGATCTGATTAACAATTGAAGAGCATTTTCATGTATTTTTTATTACATATACACCAATCAAACTTTTTGTTATAACTCAGGTTTGGTAAAAAAACACAAATAAGTTGACTTGATTAACAATCATTTGAAGAGCATGTTCATGTATTTTTTATTACATACACACGAATCAAACTTTAGTCACAGATCATTGTGTACAGCGAACAAAATCAAAAGAATCATACAATCCAACTGATGCATAAAAATCAATAAACAAAAAAGGTAATCAAAATTGAACCTTCAAGTGGGCAGCAGCCTTTTCCTTGTCAGTGAACACTCCAGTGGACTCCACAACAAACTCGGCACCGGTTTCCCTCCAGGGGATTTCTTCAGGGTTCCTGAAAATTCATGCAAAATATGCCGAGAATGACCCTGATTTCATTCTGATTCAAATGCAGGAAAGTTAAGTGGTGCTAGAAATGGCATAAATACCTGATGCCGAAAACAGTGACTGGTTTCTCACCGAAAAGAAGGGTCTTTGAATCCTTAACCTTAACATCAGAATGCTTCCAGTGGCCATGAACACTGTCATACTTGAACATGTATGTCTGCACATATCACAATAACAAAATCGCACTTAGCAGTCATACATATATTCTATTACATAAAGCCTACAAATCAATGAAACTTTGTCACAGATTTTTCATTGTCAAATTACCCTACAATTGCTTCACTTTTTATTTAATTTCAAATTTTTATAACTTCTTCAACTTTCTTTCTCTTTGTCTACAATAATTTTTTGGGTTAGTAAGTAAAATATGAACTGATTGATTTTCATAGCTCACTCATCAGATGAACACATCATCTAGTCTATTCTATTATATAAAATCTACAAACCAGTGACAACTTTTTTATTATCAAATTTCCCAGCAACTACGTCCCTTTTTTATTTAAATTGAAATTGTTTTAATTCATCCACTTTTTTTTTTTGGATAAGTTATATTTTGCAACCTTATATTTTACGTCAAATCCCACTTTGTCACAAACCTTTTAATTGTCACAAATAACCCAAGACTTTGAGTCAAGTTAAAATCACAATTAACACACTGCACTTTTCAAAACAAAGTTATACCTATATGACTAGGCCAATAACAACTTCACTCAGAGTTAAGGGGGTTAGAGGGACAATTAAAAGATCAATAAAAAGTAAAAAAAATAGACCATTTTTATAGTAAAGCCATCAAGAGTGTGCAAAACCTTCTAATATCTATATATCTATACTATATATAACGCAGACAAGTCATTTGATATGAACACTTTGTCACGCAATTTTGATTCCTAAAAACCCACAAATGGTATTTTCTCCAAATATTTTTATCTTACCTAGCCATTACCATAAAGATCAAAAAGTAGATAGTATGGTAAGAAAAGAAAAAAAAAAAATATTCTGATCTCTCATGTAAGTAAGAAAATAAATTATTTGTGTTTTCTCACCAAACATGATAGGTAAGAAAGCAAAACAATCATGCTTGGATAGGTAAGAATGCAAAGCATGTGAAAGGGACATGAGTGAGATTTCTTTTTTGCAAAATATATATAAAAAAAATCAACTTAGGGTTTATTTGGGATGCGGGTTGACTTTTTGATTATTTTAACCTGGAGTTAAAAAGCCTCATTTGGAATAGGCTTCTTGACTTTTTTGACTTTTGCGAGTGAAAAAATAAAATAATTATAGGTTGAATGTGACATTTTATCCTATTTGGCTAAAATAGTCTATTCTGTCCTATATGGCTATTTTAGCCCAAATGGGCATGCCAAACGGGGTTTTATTAACTTATTTAAGCCACATCATCTCTATTTCTTTACACATCAACTTATTTAGGGTATATCACCACTATACTTCTCTTCTCTGTATATCATTTTGTAACTAATATAAAAGCCATAAAAAAAAAAAAATTAAAAACAAAACCATACCCATCACTAATGCTATGTTTGATTGAAAGATTTGACATTGGATTTAAAAAGGAAAAAGATGGGTGAAATTACGTAAAAAAATAAGTATATTTTATTCATATTTCACTTCTTCTTCTTCTACTTCTTTTTCTTTTTTTTTTTTTTTTTTTTTTCAAATCCTGCTCAAATCTTCTAACCAAACACATCATAAACCTTCATTTCTCCTCATTTCTCACCCAACTTAGACCATCTCCAACGCTTTACCAAACCTGGCATCAAATTTAAAATTTGGTAAAAAAAATACTTTTTCATGCTCCAACAGTTTCACCAAACTGGTATCAAATTGAGAATTCATCAAACAAATCATCAAAGTGAGGACAAAATACAGATTTCAGCAAATCACTGTGTGTGACCGTTGGAGGGAGGAACCGGTCAACCAACCGGTTGCCCGGCCGGTTGACCAACCGGTCAACAACTAAAAGGTTCAAATAGTTCAAATTTATAGGTTCAAAAAAAAAAAAATTGCCTACCAACTGGTCGACCACTAAAAAGTTCAAACAGTTCAAATTTATTGGTTCAAACAATTCAAAAAAAAAAATTTCCTCTTACCGATCGACCAACCGGTCGTCCCCGGAGCAGATTTGATGAAAATGAACCATTAGAGCAACTGATATCAAATTGAGAAAATAAGTCATTTTTTACTTAAATTTGGTGAAAAAAAGAAGTTCACCGTTGGAGATGCTCTTACAAACCAAACATGAGAAAAGAATTCCATTTCTCATAATTTCTTATTATTTCTCACCAAATCACCCCATCCAAACAGAGTAAAAGCATATGTATAAGCATGCATATACAAACACACATACCATGTAATCAGTGGTGATGAAGGGATCATTAACAGCAACCAGTTCAACATCGTTTCTCTGCAGAGCAACTCTGGCTACCAGACGACCAATTCTTCCGAACCCTAAATATATTTCAACATAGATCAATTAATTCAACAACTTTCCACTCCAAAACAAAACAAAAAAAACTTAAAGCAAGAGAGAAACACTACCATTGATACCGATCTTGATCTTCTTATCAGAACCTACAGGACAACCCACCGACTAAAATTAGACATTGATACACAATAACAAATTTTACGAGACAATTACAGAGAAAAGTGATTACCCATTAGTTTAGAGAGACAGAGGAACAAAGGGTTTGTTGTTTTTTAGATAGGGAAAATGAGTTGGGAAGCAGAAAGTGAGTGAGAGAAAGACAGGGGTGCGGGTTTCAGGCTTCTATTTGAGGGGTGGGATTTTTAGCCTCTGTTTGGAAGGATTGATTAGAAGAAAATAAATATAAAAAATTATTAATTTAGTATAAAGAAATAAAAACTATTAATTGTTTTTATTTTATTTTATTTTTTGAGATGCAAAAATAATTTTTAATATTTATTTTTATCAAATTAATTTATATATACTTTTAAAAAAAATTAAAAAATAATTTTGAAAATGAAATCAAACAAAACTTTCTAATTATCTGTTTAAAACCATAAATGGTGAAAAATAATAAGAAATTTAAATATATAAGAATCTATTTTAAATTTTTTTTATAATTATTTTTAGAAGATTTGGATGGATAACTGAACTTACCAACTTTGTAACATTTCTGTTTTTGTCTTCTTTTAATAGCGTGATAGTTTTTAATTTATTTTATTGTTTTTGGAAAGATTACTCTTTTAAATTGTCCAATTGAAGAACAAAATCCATATTATATTTTCTTTATTCTTTTTGACTACTTTGACATGGTTGTATCATTCGTGAAGCGGTGAAGAAGCGGTGATCACGTGAGAGAGCCGTTTTTAATAGTGGGCAAAAATAAGATTTTTTATTTCACAATTTACTTTTTTAAAAAAATATTAAATTTTAGTTTGGGGAACAAAAAATAAATACGAAAAAAATTATTTTTTAAAACTAAAAAACTATTTTCACACATAAAAAATTAATATGAAAGCAATGAGTATTTTTAATTTCTCCCCCACTAAAGTAGGTTTTATATGTTTTTGAAAACAAACTACTACGAAAAGAAACCAAACAATATATATTGTTACAATTTTATTTATTATTTACCGTGTCGCATATATAATTTTTTATTATGAAAAAGGTAAAAAACAACTTTAAAAGATATTATTGGTCTTTATGTAAAAAAATATATTAAAATATTACCGTTCTAAAGTCTTTCACCAACATAATTAATTTATAATTTTTAAAAAAAATTAAATTTTTTTAAAACATAAAAACGTTTAAACTAAAATTATTGAAAATGTAATGCACATTACTTAAATTTAAATTTTATATTATACACTTTTATTTAGATTTTTTTTTTTTTTTTTTTTCTATTTTTATGTAATGGGTGGAAATTACCATATGATTGGGTCTAGAATATTGGGAAGTATTGTGTGGTGATGGGAGGGCCAGCTCAAAGCAATGGAGTGGAACAAAGGAACAGTCAAATTTGTGCACATTAGCATATTCACTTTTGGCATTTCCAAAAGTTTGCTACATCAAATTGATTTTGTCCAATGCGTTGACATTTCTAGATAATGGTTTTTTATTTTATTTTTTTGGTTCATGGTGTATGAGAGGGTTCAAGAACATCGTTGAAAAATTTGAAAATTTTTAAAGATTCTTGAAGAAAAATTCAAATTCTCTAAAAAATGATTAAAGACTTAGATTCTTCAATAGTCTCAACGAATAACACAAAAGCAAGAGATGATAGAGATAAGTGATTGGGTGAAGAAGAAGATAAAGTAGCTAGAGAGAGAATAATGGCAAGGCTCTCCCATGGATCTCTCACTTTCACTCTCAAGATTGATAATGGTTGTCCGAGGAGGTGACCTCTCTGAGGATGAGGAAAATCCTCGAAGAGGTTCCTCGAAGAGGAGATCAACCTCTCGACGAACCCTTATTCTTAGTCACACCTAACCAATGATCTCCAATTATCCCAAAGGGTCAGGGGTAGTCTCAGAGGACATCTTGCCGCAGAAGGGGCAGGGATAGTTCAAGAGAATACCCTACCGCAAATATTGCCGAGTTTCAAGGACCTCCTAAATCGTGCCACCTCGACCCAGATATAGATTAGTTTAACCAAAGAGTTAATTTATCTCCACTCCGTCTTCGGGATCGGGTCCTTGTTCAGACTCCATTATGCCCATGGTTCTAGTGCGTAGATCCCGGATAGCTCCGAGTCCGCAAGTGTTCTAGGACTCATTAATGGAGCGGCTTCTAAATTGTGTTTGAATCCGTTCGAAACCAAGTACTTCGGATCTCTAGATTTGTGAGTCTAGGCCCGAGTAAGTCTCTTAGTTCGTGGATCCGAACTCTTTCGAGGCTTAGAGCAATTCGGTCCGTTTGATGGCGATAAATCCGGGCCCACCAATCTTGGACTTGCTATAAATTCGGGTCCACCAACCTTAGACTATTGGGCCTAATTAATTTAGTGGGCTCAAATTAACTCCTCTTACACATGGAAGCCTAAAAGTTTCTCTAAAACATAATTAGGCTTGGTATGTGATAACTTACAAAAGTTAAAAAGTCAAAAAATTACTAAAAAAATCAAAAAGTCCATACTATTTGGGAAAAGCTTGTGAGGAAACCTAGAGGATAAAATTATTATTTTGCCCTTTGAATTCAATTGCCCAAAAGTCAAAAAGTCAACAAGGGTAGAATGATTATTTTGATTTTACTATAATATTTTATTACACATCTTTTTGTAAGAAGTTAAAAAGTTATCCTAAACATACATTTTTTTTTCTCTACTTTTTTAGTCAAAAAGTCAAAAAATGTATTTATATAGCACATCCCAAACAATTCCCATGGTTTTTAAATTTTTTTCTTATTTTATGAAGTTTGATACTGCATTACAAATACATCATTTCTTCAATTGATTGTTAGGTTAATAAATTTGTTCCAAACTCTTTTTTTTTTTTAACTATTGGAGTTGGCTCAATAGTCAAAAATTCTAAATTCATAATTGATCATATGATATATTCTTTTTTTTGAAATGTATATTATAAAATTTCTCAAGTAGAATATGTTTTGTGAAACACATTTGATTTTGGAGAGGGAACATATACAGTGTTAAATTGGAGCTATGAGTTAGATGAGTTTGAAGGACAACCTTCCTTGATGCAACATTATAAGAATGCAAACAGATACTAATTTTTAGAAAAATCCATAAAAAGTAAAAATTGTAAATATCTAATAAGTTGTAGAAATTGACAAAAGAAAATGCAAAAATGCCCAAAAATAAGAGGTTGGTAAACAATCACTACCCCAACTTACTATGAACTTTCTTTTGACACCAAACTACAAACTAGTGTTTGATAATGAACAAACAAACTTAGATTAGAAATTGGGTTTTCATATTTATATTAAACTAATTAAAAAGATAACTGTTATATATTATCTATTTTTGTCACCATTTTGGCCTCGTTTGGAAATAGACTTTTTAAGTAATTTTTTGACTTTTGACTAAAATATGATGTAAAAAAAATTAGTATGTTGTGATGACTTTTTGGTTTTTTATGAAAAGATGTGCAAAACATAAAGAGAAAATAGATTCTTTGATTTTTTGGTATAGATTGTTAGTTTTTTGACTTTTTTAATAATTTTTTGACTTTTAAGCTAAAAAGTGATATTGCAAAGGAGGGTTTTGTATCACCAAGTATATGGCAATATATTACTTGTTATCATTAATGTCTCGGTTAGATCTCCAAATAAAAAAATCAATCATACATATTTATATATATACACAGGTGATACAAAATTGTGACAAATAATTAGTTTCCTTATTATTTTCAAATTCTAGGGCAAACTTGGACTTTGCTTCTGGCCGCATGGATAGGATGGTATGATGGAGGTGATCCAAGGGTGCATGACTTCATTCTTAAAATCAATAAATAAAAAGCAAAATTGAAGATTATGAACCTCCTATTTAAATTAAATTAATTTTTTTTTAAATTTTTAAAAAGAAAGTAATCTCACGGGTGTGACTCTTGATGCCATTTAATGGTTTGCTTGATCTTGATATCTATTCTCAATTCATTTAAACTAAATAGTGATATCAAGAGACAAATTGATACTTCTTGTTGTTGTTCTTATTGTGTAGCAGTATTGGGTGATATGTATAGAAATTAGTTAACGTAGTTGTGAATTTTTCAAAATCTTCACCTGTAAAATAGAATTTAATGGCAGTCAAACAGACTGTATCAATTGTGAATCGAGTATAAATTGATATATATCAAGAATCAACTATCACTATAACATTTTCTTAGTTTAGTAACATTTGAAAGTGCCACAAAACTATTAGTTTAATGACATTTTTTAGTCTTATGGCATTTTAAATAAGTGTCATTTATATCCGTGCCATAGTAGATACTTGTAAGTGTCACCACACCATCATGGCTAAAAACATTCAATGACATTTTGATGTCATGATAGATACTAATTGTGACAATATCAAGCGTCATTAAAAAAAGAGTTAGTGGCACTTCAATGACACTTGTAAGTGCCATTACACCATCAGGGTTAAAAACTTTTAGTGACACTTTAATGTCATGGTAGACACTATTCGTGACGTTATCAAGTGCTATTAAAGAAGACTTGCAATCTAAAAAATGCCACGATATGGATTTTTAATGACACTTGTTATGTCACAATTGACATTTATAACAACTTCAAAAAATGTCACTAAATCCAATTCATTTGTGCCATTAAATGGATATAAGTGCCATTAATGACACTTTGCAAAGCTACTATCACTATCACAAAATGTCACTCATATGTTTTTTTCATTGACACTTTTAAAAGCTACAACTAAGTATGCGTGAATGCCTGTAAAAATTGAATCGATTTTATAAACAACTGAATATTAATTGCCACATCCTATATTAATTTGACATACATTCATCCTGTAATATTTTCATAATAATAAACAAATATAATCACCATAGGATCATCACATCAAAAATCAAAAAAAATTCAAACCACAATCAATTATTTATTATTGAAATATAAATTTATTTATATTGTAATAAAAATCCCTTGCCAAAATTATAAAATATTCTACCACACTAACAAAGTTAAAGCAAAAAAAATGTAAAAGAAAATTATTCCAACCATAAGTTTTGAAAAGCCATAGTGATATCCATTTTCCAGAGAGACAAATTATCAAAATAAAATCAGTTCCCAAATTCGCAACCTCACTTGTATAAATATTCTCGGCTAACATCCATAACTTGCGAAATCTGCATC